AGCCAGCACGCTGGCTGCCATTGTCCCCTTACCAGCAGCCCAAATGCTCACGACGATGAGCTGGGCTGTCACCGCTTGGCCGCCGGTGGGGGGTTTGGGAGGCCGCATCGCACACAGACACCCACACACTCCCTCAACTTCCACGAACACACACATACGCAGACTCGTTTCCACACGGACATAGACACACGCACAGAAACCCACACACTACCTCAGCTCACTCGACTTCGTTTAGTTTCGTGTTTCGTTTCGCGTTTCGTTTCGCGTTTCGTTTCGTTTCGTTTCGTTTCGTTTCGCCGAATCAACTCCACTCCACCTATGTCGATAACCTAGATCATCGAACATCATGATGGGCACCTTTTATCTCTCCACTTTGGGCACGCTCTCCGCAACCGAGAATCTCCATGACCCGTTCACGTCACATGTTTCACATGTTCATGCCGTGTGGACATCTAGCTGAAGCCACTAAGCTACTAGCTACTAGCAGGAAACCTACGTAACACTTCACACCGCACACTTACCGGATAACTCGCACTCTGACTTCCTACATGATGAAAAATGCTTTCGGGCCACTCGTCGTCTAGTTTGCTTTTGCATGGTTACCTATGTGTGTGCAGAACAAGACATGAAGCAGATTTGACACGCGGCCGCAAGCGCGTGCGCGAGCTCATTTGATTGCTTCGACGCGCAGTTGTCGAGAAAGGGAAGCGCTGGCTTTCGTTTTGCAGCTTCTCAGGTGTTCGGTGGCCCAAGAATTGTCAAGTTTCCCAAAAATCTAGAAACCAAATCATTAGTGCGTGAGCTATCCTGCGTCCAAGCTAGTAGCTACTTGTAGCTACTATCTACCTCTCCCTATACTAGTTACCTAGCTACTACTAGCTACCTCTACGGCCTACCCCCTCTGCCCTGTCAGTGCCGTCGTTCTCGTTGTTCCTGTCAGTCTGAACGTGATTCTATAAAACAGAAATCCCTTGGATGCCTGTTCAATACAGGGAACACATACTTTGTGATCAGGGGTATGGAAGGTTTTCCCACAAATCCGACCCAGGGGCGGTCAGGGGGGGCAGCGGACGTCGTTGGGGTAGAATTAGATTGTGGAAATGTGCCCTAGCTACGCCCCCGGCGCAACATGGGCCTAAGATGGGCCAACATAGGCCCAAGAAGGGGCCAACATGGGTCCAAGATGGGCCAACATGGGGCCAAGATGGGCCAGCATGGGCCCAAGCTGGGCCAACATGGGCCCAAGCTGGGCTAACATGGGCCCAAGCTAGGGTAACGTGGGCTCAAGCTGAGCCAACATGGGCCCAAGATGGCCCAAGCTAGACGCAAGCTATGCTCAACATAGCCCCAAGACCGCGCAACAAAGGCTCCAGATGGCCTAAGCTAGACCCAAGCTGTGCGCAACATAGCCCCAAGCCCGCCCAACATCCACTCCCTCAGCCTACCTCAACGCCCCTGGCCGGTTGTCGGGCGTAAGCCCTTAAATCATTGTTTCGAGGGTCCGCGACCTGTCGCCTCCATGAATGGGTCAGCACTCTTTCACGCCGTGTCTTCGCTGAATCACTAGCAAGTGCTCTGGCTCTCAAACAACCATATACACATGACTTCTTTTCATGTCGACAGTCGGTCTTCGTGTCAATACTTGTCAATAGCAAGCAAAAAACTTATCCTTAGACAGCCTCACTGTGATGTGAGCGCTTGGCCATACAGATGACAGATGATGTTTCTCATTGGCTGTCGCGGTTAGTTCAGGACACACACACACATATATATATATATAGGTCAATGTCAAAACATATCTATAAATACATGTATTCTACTTTCTTTTTTCCATATATCGAGCTTGTGAATACATATGAGGACACACACACATATATATATATATCTATATGTACCCCATGGAGGGCCCGTCGAGAGTCGGCCCGTCAGGCCGGTTGGTCCTGTTCGTCCCGTTGGGCCCGTCGAGCTGGGACTTGTGTAGCGGACCATTCTCAAAAACCTAGAAGCCATAGTAACAAGAAACTAGTAGAAACAAGTGCATCGCTACTAGTAACAAGAAACGATTAATTTAGAATTAAATCAATTTGTTAATCATTGGTGCGTGAGCTATCCTGCGTCCAAACTAGTAGTTACTTGTAGCTACTAGCTACCTAGCTACTACTAGCTACCTCTACGGCCCACCCCCTTAAAAACATACATAAATATTTGCATATACATATATATATATATATACACATACGTGACATCTCAGAAATGATTCGTTAGTTCCTTTGACCATGGGACATCATGCGACCGTGTTCATCGACTCAGGTCGTGACTCAGCGTGTGTTCGAGTTCATATTTCCGCAGCTCGGCGATATGTGTGGAGGGGAGGAGCTTCGAAAGAAAGTCTCTCCACTGTGCAATGACATGAAGGGTTTGTGCCCTTTGTACATTTCAGTCTCCAAGCACGAAGTTTGCATTGATGAGAACTATGAGCTCATCCAGAAGGCCTGGTTGAGATGCGCAGCGCTTTCACAGTGACAGAACTTTTGGCCTTTGGCATATCAGTGGTTTAACCTCCCTCCATAGTTGTAGGATCAACCAGTAACAGCTGCTCTTGAGGTTTCATTGCGTTACACTACGACGTGTGTTTCAAACAAAGCAAAGCGCATTGTGCTTGGTTCACTGATGTCAGGCAAAGGACGTGGGTGTGGAGGTCGTGGTTGATGAGGTGCCTTACATGCCCCATGCTTTCCAATGGTGCACTGCATTCTTACCAGAATCCAAAGAGTCAGACAACCGAATCGTGACATGGATGAGAAGCAAGCTGGGCCAATGATTGTCCGCAATTGCACATTTGGATGCACCAAGTGCACTGTGTAGTTGCACAAGCTTGTTTAAGCAACCAAGTGTGGACAGCATGGCTGCCAAATGCCTCTGGACTCTGGCACTCACATGCAGGGCAGCGTCTAGTGTAGTCTGCTAGAAAGCAGCAATCACCACGAGTGAGGCAATGAGGCAGTGCTTCCATGCTTGCTCGCCACTTCAATAGTTTGACGAGCGTCCAACTGTATAGTACAGCACCCTTGATCCGACCGATAATGGCGCTTCATATCAACAAGCGAACCGAAAGTCCTTAGAATTGGACCCAGGCTAGCATCTCCCAGACCAGCGTCATGAGTTCATTTGGCCAATTGTTATATATATATATATATGTGTGTGTTTGGAGGACTGCAGCTGCAGCTTCACCGTTGAGGCGTCCAAGAGCGAGAACGCAGGCTTGGACTTGGAAGGTAGTGAGTCTCCGGAGCCTGGGAATCGTATAAAGTTAGTGAGAAGATTTGGCCACTCTTCGTTGTCGCAGAGTGAGGCTAGTCCTCAAACTCCAGTGGTTTCACAGGCTGGTATGGATGAAATCGAAGAGTTGGCGATGGCACGAGAAAAGTTCGAAGAGGACTGGATCCCAAAGCATTTTGGAGTGGTCTGGAGAGCAGTTCCAGGAGAAAGAGCGAATCAATGCCCAGCGGCTGGAAGTGGAGGCCCGGAGAGGCGGAAGGCACTCCACAGGGTTGGCCTTGTGGCTCGCCCCTTGCAGTGCTTCAGGAGAAAGCTCGACAGAATGCTCAAGAAGAAGAAGGCAGATTGTTGAACTCACATTCACCAGTCACTGTGATATGTTATGTTGGTTGCGTTGGCCTCCTGTTCAGCACTCTTGGACGAGCTTCGCATGCTGGAGAACCAGATTGCAGAGATCTCGTCCAGGTGGCTGTAACGAGCAGCTGAGTTTGCACAGCCAAGCCAGAGACAGTGCCTGTGCAGGCTTCAGGGGACTACAGCTGAACTTACCACGGAAGGCAAACAGCAAAATGCAGAGGCCCATAAATAAGTTGCTTCTCCTGTTTGTGCTATATATGTGTTTTAAAAAAATGCTTGATGTGATTTTTCAATATCAGGTAGCATCAAAGAGGATGGCAGCATTGACCATGCTGAGCTGCGAGCGCGATTGGCTGCAGGAGGAGGCAAACTTTGAGACGTCGGGGAAACCACCCTTCCGATTGTGCCAGATTGCAAACAAACAATTCGACGATCTCCGCATCTTTCACCCGACCCACCGACCTCGAGGTGCACATACTGAAAGGCCAATCGACGAGCCTAGAAGAAAAGGCCCATCAGCAAGAGATTTCTCATGATTTCTCCCACACAAGGGGGATTCTGCCATGATTTGAGGTTGTACAGCTTTCCAAAGAGCTGGAAGAGGCGAAGGCGAAAGACTTGGCGAATAGAAAAACAACAACACGATGTGAGATTTCTACAATGAGAAGGCATCTGCAGCACGAGGAGCAGAGGAAACTGCTCAGTTGCGCTGCGAGTCGGAGACCCTATATCGTTCCCTACAGATGTTGGCTGACGCTGACCCGATGTCGTTCTCTACAGAGAAACATCTTCAGCCCACCCACTATGGATGAGGTTGCAAGACTTAGGTCTTGTTGGCTGAGGTTGCATGAGCGACGTGAGGAACGTGCATCCTTCACTGCTCAACAGGCACAACCTTGGCCATGTCAACAAGCACACTTCACACTTTTGACATTGTACGTCACCTAACAAGACTACGCAGTGATAATATGACTCTGTTCGGGAAAGTAGGGGATGGACTCTGTATCACAGAAGAGGAAGAGTCTACGGCACAAAAGGTTCTGACTGCCATTTTTAATAACTGCGTCGACCAGGCCGCGAATGCCAAAGCTGATGCTGGTCTGAAATTGCAGGTGCCCATCAGCAGTTCCGAGCCCACAATAGTTGACTCCCCAGCCTCACAGGTGTTTGCATTGGATGACCATGTGTCGCGCTTGACACAAGCGGTAGAGATGGAGCAGAATATGCAGCAGGAGGACTGGAAGGGAAGCTTGAGCTTCCTCAGAGTCTGAGTATCTGAGTACAGTAGTCTTTGTGAGGGTTTTGGAAGCTTTTCAAGAGAAATGCTCAGTCACAATGGGGTGTGGAAACAGGAGCAGCGACGCTTGATGAAAGACCGAGAGCAAAGGCACAAGGCTGGGAGGGATCACAGCAATGTGGCTCATGCACGCATTCACCGTAATTATCATCAAATATCAATATTTTTTCCATGGTTCAATTTCTTCAATGGCACAGACATAGACCCTTAACTTAGCAAGAGGATTTATTGTGAGGCTTGGACAGACAATGGGCATTCGCAAGAGGCAAAGCTTGCTCTGCCAGCCAGGCCCCAGAGACCTGGAATTCAGTATTCTTTTAAATTTAAGGGGGGGTAGGCCGCTAGAGGTAGAGGTAGGAAGTAGCTATAAATTAGGTAGGTAGCTAGTACCTACAAGTAACCTACTAGTAACTGGACGCAGGATAGCGCTCGCACTAATGATTTGGTTTATAGATTTTTGGGGAAACTTAACTAGTAGCGACTCCCTTGCTATTACTAGTAGCGATGCCGTTGCTGCTAGTGTGTTTTCTACTAGTAGTGTGTTTTCTTTTGATTCTTTTTTGTTTTAAGTGTTCTTTCAACAGCGACGCCTTAGGATCTCCAGCCATAGTAAAGGGACGGATTCCATGAAGGTTTGCAGATCTGCTTTGTCTTAAGTGTCTTGCCTGTCTCGTTGCTGGTGGCTCTCAGTCTCTCAGTTGCGTCCCCTCGATAGCGAACCGATTTTGCCATGGATTGCCATGGTTATTAGGCTTCACAGCAATGCCCTGTCCTTGTTGGACCAAGTGTGACCAACTCCCAAAGAGAAGGAAAACGAGAGAGCGAGAGAGCGAGACTATGCGTGAACCACTCCCCTTGTCCTGACCAATTAAGGTCATCAACGTTGCTCATGCTTCTCCTTTGCCTGAGACAGACGTCACGCTCAATGCAACAGCTTGCTACTACCCAGTTCAGCTAGGCCACGGGTGAGCGCTCTCTCTCTCTCTCTACATGACCATGAGCATTCCGACGCGCATTGCATCAAATTAGTAATTATGTACAGTAGGATTTTCTTGGATTTTTTCAATCATCGAAGGCTTGAAGAAGGCAAGGGTTTGCCTACACTTTGTCAAACTTGTACTTTGAAGGCTTGGCCTATCTATTCTTGGCATCTTGGCAAGAAGATGCTTTTGAAGGGATGAACTGTTGACAATCCTTCTGTTTTTCTGTTTTTGGGTTTGATGCCTGCAAGGTCGGATATTTGGTGAGAACGGTATTTGTTTGTGCAGGGCTACCTCCTTCGGTCGGAGCATCTTTGCTGAAAGCAGTCAATACTGACAGAGCCGCAGTAGACATCTTCCTTTGAGCCACGGCTGCCTTGGTGCTTGAATACTTGAGGTGATTCTGGTGGGCTTTGCCTTCTCTTACTTTTTTCAATCTGACTCTTGGCAGCTTTTTGAAAATGGGGGTCCATGCTTGATGCAGCCAACATGGAAAGAGTGGTGCCCGTCGAGAGTCTTCGCAATTTGACCGGCGCGTGCTGTCGTAAGGACTTGCTCTCGGCGCGTGATGAGCTGCAAGAGTTGTCCTTTTTCCTTGTCCCCTGCCACGTTTTTGCTGACATATATATATATATATATGTCCATTTTATCTCGTCGATATGTTGGCTTTGGGCGGTGAACGCGAGGCACTCGGTGAAAGCATAAAGCGTTTCAGCGCTTGGAAGGTGCTGCTCACGGCTGGCTTGGAGATTCGATTAAAAGACTTGAGGACACAGATGTGGGGTGGGCCGTGTTCCCAGGGGATGGCAAATTTCCCGCATAGGATTCAAGGGGTTTCAAGTAGACGAATGGAAAGTACTTCTATCGAACAAGAGTGGACCACTTGTGGGACAAGTGCAAGCTTTTGAGGTGTTCAACTTTTGCTGATTGTTCCCGGACAAGCTGGATGCTTTGCCCTTGAGCAGACAGTTTAGGATTGATTAGGCATGTGGGCCCTCGTCAAGCCTAGGGAAAAGTACAGCCCCATTCGTTCCAATGTCCTTTTGGGGAAGGAAACATAGTTTTGACATGACAAGCCACAAATTGTATGACTACTTCAGCCGTTACCAGGACATACATGTTCGTTATGGCCTTTCTACCCGCCACCTTCGAGCTTGTTGCAATTGCTGTGTAACCTGCACTTGATTGTATCATTGCATCTTTTGCTTTAATGTCAATTACTTTTATTGGCACAATATGTAAGTGTGTGCAAGTAGATGCTGAAAGTTTGCATGAACCTACTTGCAGTAGCGATTCAAGATTTAGGCTATACAAAATTTCAAGAATCCTCAGTTGTAGACGGCCACACACGCGAACATTTTCCCGAGCTTATGGGACTATGAGGTATGCCTGTCTTCTTCTCGACTATTCCTGGATGGAGGGATTAGTGTGCCTCGTCAAAACACTTTGTCGAGGGAGTGTCTAGCTGCGCCGCCTCGTCTGTCTACATCCTGGTGCCTTTGGTGAGGCTAGGGACCATCCTGGTTGCAATTGGAGATGGCCTTGTGATACCCAAGATGAAAGAGTTTGGTTTCCTATTCAAGGGGCGGCCCGGCTGCAACGCACTGCAGTGGGGCAAGTTGTGCGTTTTTGCTGGGTCGTTCATCATCCAGACTGACAGGCATCCACTGCCGCGTTTGATGTTTACTTGGGCGCCCTTGGAAGCGTCATTCGCGCTGTGCCTCTTCGGAGTCCTCAGTGGTGGAGGCCTTACGGTACTTGATCTAGCTTAGTTTTGGAAGAAGAGCAACGGAGATTGAGCGTGGTACTTTGATGTCCCGTTTCACCGTGTTGTTTCACCGGATGTTTGTTCACAGTGTTTTACTGTATTTTTTCCGTGTCATGCTAAGGTTTTGCAGCACCGACCTCATCAGGTGTACAGGTTGCAACTCTTGTAGCTGGAAATGTTGCTTGACTACTTGACTACTTGACTTGCCAAGAGTCTTGCAGAGCGTCTTGCAGCGGTTCCCATTGGAACCACTTCGGGGATGCTCAGGTTCTCCGCATCGCTGTGACGGTGCTTGCCGGAGCTGTGCTTGGGGGAAGTGCAGGCTGGCTCATATCTCGAAGGAGGAGTTTGAGCATCAATGGAAAGCAGGCGAGGCTCTTCGCCCTTCGCGAATGAGATTTCTTCTTTGTCATCCTTTTCCTGTTCCTTCGCAAATCAGGTTTTGACTGGAGCTCCTGTGGAAGTTGCTCGGAAGAGTGAGAACTTGCAGAGCAGAAGGATTGTCTCACAAATTGGGCCGTGTCATCATGATTGGATTTTATTTGATGTGATCGGTCGAGTCGGTTGGTCGTGTTTTCTCACTCTGGTCGCTTTGTTTGTGAAGCTCCACTCTCCCAGGCCTTTTTGATGATCATGTCGATCGCGCTTGTGGCCTACGCCCTGGGAGCTCAAGGTTCCGACGGTTCAGTGCTCGTGCCATGCCCTGCAGCTAGAAGACGGCAGACGCCAGAGTTGCTGCAAATTTCTGCAAAAACTTTACGATACTACCTACGGAACTACTCGAGACTGCAATTATATACTGTGGCCTGGAGCACTCCGTCCTCAAGAGTTCGCCATTTTGGGCTGAGGTGCCTATGAACTTCATCAGTGGTGCGATGTTCCAGCCAGACTCATGGGTGAATTTGGACGAGGAAGTGTATCATTCCAAATCATTTCTGGATGTCAGCAAGCTGTGCATTTTCATACTCGTAAGCGGTTTGCACGCCCCCAACCCACTAGAAATTGGCTCCAATGAAGGTACTGGTAGGACCAGCCATATATGGTAACAAACTTTTGATGCAAACATTTGTAGTAATCTTGCTACAAGCATGCAACCAAGGAACTTATGGTCATCATGACAGGGGTCTTCTTTTCAGCAATGGCATCAGAAGCAGAAGTGCATCAGGTGTCTTGTTTACATGGAGTTCATTGCTCTGTCCAAACAAACTGCAGCGAAATTGGCTCGCCGCTCTGAGCCGAAAATGAGGTGGAGAGAGTCATGGGCGGCGTGTGGATCTTTGGCCAGCTGATCCTGTTCAGCATGCGGCGTGGCTGCAAGCCTATCCCGGCTTCAGGTCAACAAGCCAGGTCTGGAAGTTCAGGGTCGGAAGCTCACACCTTTTTTGAGGATCGGAAGCCGCACCACACTGGATATTTTCCCTGTCTTTTGGCGTCATGTGCGGCTTGGCGACAACGTTTTTGAATGGATGGAAAGAACACTGTTTTTGATGTTTGAGGTTTGTCAGCACCTTGTGGACGTTCTCTAATCACTGAAATTAAGTTTCGGTTTTGAATAGGTTTCCCATGCTGGCTTGCGGGCTTATCGCGCGCTTTGCGGGGATTTTCCTGGCCATCAATGGAATTCTCATTATGGATCTGCCAGGAGACGGCAATGCTGCACATTCTTTCGTGCAGTTCACTTTTCTTTGCCAAGGTTGTAGCTTCTCCTAAACTTGGTCCACTTTGTGCACTTAGTGTCTCGACCAGGTCATCCTTTCCACAACTCTATGGTACTTGTCGATTCAACTTTCTGCTGCTTGGACTCTGAAATGAGGCGGTTTGCTGTTTCCTAAAGTGTCCTGGACAGAGGCTTTTTATCCGTTTTGCCCAGAGCAACTATCCAGGCAGGCGTATGTCACAGGGCTTCTTTTGGATGTCAAGAGAAAGTCATCAGCAGATATATATATATATAAATAGCCTTAACAATTACACACGCGTATATATATATATATATCAGAAAGGCCTGTTGTGGGCGGCAGAAAATTGAGACGCTTGGGACATATATTATATACTGGAGCAGAATTTGACCAAATCCACAGCTTACCACTGGCTTTGCTGCATGCGTGGCATGAGAGGACGTGTGCCTGTATTTGGTTGCGTTTGTCTGCTGCACTCTAGAAGCACAGATGAATCTGGATTTATCATACTTAATGTCAAAGCAACAGTTTTCACAGCAAGACTTCTCAGGAAGTACTATTCAATCTGAATTCTTATGAAAAACAAAAAACGCAAAAAACATAAGAAACAATGTTTCCACAGCTAGTCTGATCTCTGGACTGGTTGCCACATCTTTTTTTTTTCTATTTTTTTAAAAGACCTTTAAAGAAAGGAAGCCAATACGTCCGGTCACCAATTTTCCTTTTGAACATGATCAATTCCTTTTATTTGCTTTAAACATTTATTCCTTTATTATTCCTTTTTATTTTTCTCGTGTGTGCGCTCTTTCAACCGCTTTCCCGACATCTATGCCTCTCGCCTCTTACACTCATAACGCCCGAGTGCTCGCGGATGCTTCCCCGGATCTACTTCCTACTACTTGCTGCTCGCGGGTGCTACTCTCTCTACTTCTGTTTTTCGCTCGCTCCTACCTTTACCCCAAAGACTCTTTGATTTACACTCCACACTGTTTGGGGTCTCTTGCCGGGATAATTTCGTTTTTGTCCTTTTAACCGGACTAATTCCTTTCATTTTTTTAAAAAGAGATGGGTTCTTTTTATTTTGCTTTTAAACATGATCAATTCCTTTCATTTTCCTTTGCAACGTCATTGTTCAAAGGGAACATGCAAGACATTATATCAATTTATCCTTTTTAGAGGAAAGGAATTGTTCATCCTTTGTTCCTTGTTTCCTTTTCATCTTCTATTCCTAGAGTACTGTCATACTTTCCCTTTTACTTTATTCCCATGTCCAGCTCTATTTTTTCTAATTTTGGTTACTGTTTTTCCTGAAACAATATGTGCTTACAGGTGCAATCTGTTCATTCCTGAGTTCATGTCATTTAGGATTTGCAAAAAACAAACACATTTGTCTCAATTTTCTGCCGCCCACAACAGGCCCCTCTCATATATTTACAGAACGGGATATATATATATATATACACATACACACACAAACGTTTGTCATATATTACAGTAAATGTTTGAGCAAGCTGAGTTCTGCAACATTTCACGGCAGGGAGCGCTAGGGCAAGTTCCTATCACAGGGCTTCTTGACTGCATCACTTCTGCATCGCTTCGGTGACAGATAGTAGTGGGCATATGGAGCCTCAGTCTTAGTTGAACCCTAGGCAAGCATGGGTATGTGGGTACAAATTACAAGCAGACTCTTTGAGGATTTCTGTGATTCCAGTGATGATGTGATGTCAATACATTTTTTCAGATTCAGACATCCATGAATGATCCATGTACAAAGCAAGCCAGCCTTTACAGGCAGTTCTTTAGCAGACTACCCAATAGCTCTGGATGCAACTTGGCTAATGCAATAGCTCTGGAGCTCCTTTCCTCTGAGAACTTGAGGCGCTCCATGTTGTTTACTCCTTTGCATTCCTGAGGCCAGAACTTCATCTTCCTTGCAGCCACTTGCTGAATTTGTCGTCTGGGGGAGAAGAAGAACTGCAAGGAAATGACAAATGACAGGATGAAGGGAGACTTTCCGCGAAACGACATGAGGCCAGACTCTACATATGCACTATGTCTGTCTGAACCTAAGAGCAACAGCTATTTTCAAATTGTTTTGCTACATTTTGATTGTTGATGGTTTCAAGTCTTTCAATGATAGACTTTACACAAGGGGCTGATTAGCTTCAGCAACATGTGGAGGTTGTTGGAATGATTCTGCTGAATACCTTTGGCCCACGACTAATACGAGAAACCTTGGATCGCCCAAAGTGGGGCGAGGAAGCGAAGGAGAAGGCGAAGAGAACTTGACCTTTCTGATGTATAGCCAGCCGCATAGCCTGTATAGCAATCATTTATCCCTTGGCTTCCCTTCCTTCCTTGTCAAGAAAAACTCTAGTTTTGGAGTCACGGAAGGCTGAGACCGACAAGTTCTCCAAGCAGCTCGATGGCAGTGCGATCGGTCACGGCAGTTTGGACCATGTCTGGTTAAGTTTCCCAAAAAATCTAGAAACCAACGCAGGACAGCTCACGCTTCTTCAAGGAAGCTCCCCCCGACCTCAGCCTGGGGTAGCTTCCTTGAAGAAGCGTGAGCTATCCTGCGTGCATGCTCTTAGTAGCTACTAGCTACCTCTCCCTTACTTCATACTTAATTAAGTAGGGAGGGGGGAGCGGGCAAAAAAATCGCGAGTTTGAGGTCGGAAGAAGCCTCTGAAACTTTGCTACAGTCCTTGTCGGAGGCACTCGGTGTTTCAGTGTCCAGTCGACTGTTGAGAGCAAAGATGCTGATGAACACATCAGCGAACTGATGAGGCTTACCAGATTCCAGAAAGTGTTCTAAATGATGCGTTGCAAAGAGCCATGCAGCTGCTTGGCTTTCAAGCAATAGAACGACGTTTCACAGATCGGACAAATCTGGGAGTAGTCAAGGGCGTGTGGCATCATGCGGCTCGTTGTTCATTCCTGTCTTCTATTCTGGCACTATTCTTGTTTGCCAGTTCGGCTTGGACTGCTTCTGATAGTGAGGAGCGCTCCCCAAATGGCGAAGGCTGTATCTCAGCCTACCTTGCGCCCAAGCGCGGAAGGCAAGGTTGATACTATGATATACTGTGATATTTGGATGCCAATTGCTTCCAGTCATTTCCTACCAGGTGCGGATACGTCGACTGACCTGGCCTTTGCACAGTTCGACTGCCTCGGAGATGTGCTGAACAGCAAAGACAAGGAGATGATTCCCCAAACAGTTTACTGTTGGGGTTCTATATAGAAGAAAAGAGCTGTCCACACTGACTGGCCGCGCCCCTGAACTCTGTGGCTGGGTCTTGTCCTCCTCTTGTCTTCTCTTGTGGCCGAACCAATAGCGATGTTGATGCCGACCAAACTCATTGAGGAAGCAGCTTGTAGAATGTGGAACGTTCGTTAACAGCTTTGCAACCTTTTCTGCTGTACGGCAATGTCTTGCCATGTTGGAATGCTTGCAAGTCTTCAAGAGCTTGGTCCACACACACACAGTGACCAATGCGGCACAGGAGCTTGTTTGGCGAGGTCATCAACGATAGCTGGATTCGCAGACTCAATGCAAATGATTAAATCTTGACATTTGGTGGAATAGACTTATAAAGTAAACTTGGATGGCTATTTTCGAGCGAAGAGGCTTCAACAGCCTCCCTTACATCCGCATGCGATGTGCAGTTTGCTTCATTGAAATCTGCAAGCGGATCAAAAACATGGCGCTCATGAAAAGCCCTCAATAAAGGAGGACTTGCCCTGGGCTGTCAGGTCTGCTTGTTGGAAAAAACCAGCAAGACTGCTGAAAACTGTGTGCAGTGAGCGACCAGCTCCAGCTTTTTCGTGCTTGGATAAATTGTGCTGTGTGTAGGCTTCAAGCGGATCATGAGGAGGCTCACCGGTGGAAGGAGCCAGTGGCAAGGGTGGCAGGTGTTGGGAGCCTTTTGCAACATTTGACATGCCTCGTCGGACTCGTCGGTTCGCCTTAGCGAAGGACCTTGCCGCAACACTCAGGCGCTCTATGCAGGAGTCGGATGCCCAGATGTCTTTCTATACAGATGCCCAGATGTCTCAATTTAGGAAGAAGACTCCAGGATACCGAAATCAAAGGCTAGACCAAATCGACCGAGGGCAGGACTGGGAGGACGTAAATATTCAATCATGGCCCAAAAGTCATTGCTTGATTCGATCGTACTTCCAAAGGTGTAATTACTTTCCACATAATTGATGTGGTGGCCATGCTAGCATGCTGTTCAACTCAATGTCTCCGCTTTCGCCGGACACGAGACATCTCAGAGAACAACAGGTATTTTCTACTCAGGGCCACATGATTTTTCAATATGTTTTTAATTCTTTTTTGTGCAGATCTCAGGTGCGTGGCAAAGCTGGACGGATTCCGGGGCCATGAGGCGTAGTGGGCGAAGCGTCGAAGCGGCGGCGAAGCAGCGGCACATTCCTAAAAGTTTAGGGCCTTTGGATAGTGCCCACACGCAGGATAGTTCTACATGAGTGGATAATGGGCAGCACAAGCATTCAGATGCAGACATGTTGGTGTGAGGCTCGTAATGCAAAACGTTCATTCTTGTACAGGTGAAACTCGATTTGATCAGAGTATTGCACTCTGCAAGGAGCGCCTGGTGTATGACTTGAAGCAATGGCTTTTGGTACAAAAGCAAGTCGAGGCACCATGGCTCGTTGGAATAGTTGGTCCAATATTTTCAGCTATTGGAGGCAGAGATTTTCATGTTCAGCTTTGATCAAAAGACAAAATCAACACATTGTGAATTTGTCCAGTACAATTGTCAGGACTCCAGTGTAGGAGCAACGGACTACAGTAACACATGTCACAATTAGACACGGTAAAAAAGTGGAAGAGCGGCTTGTCGAGGGTTCGTAGGCTGCGCGTTTTGATTTGAGTGTGCAAGGAAGGCTTTGGTTGCGGGGCTATGTTAGGGCGATGCGTCATTTCCGGGCTTCCTCAACATGTGGCCAGCAGATCTCTTTTGCCCACTGTGCCTCTTCGCACTGCTCACTCCGCGAGAACAGCATCGAAGTTCCTTTTGACACGCGTGTGCAAAGGTGTACCATCAGCTATGTAATACATTTTGCATCTCTTGCACTACGCGAGATATACTTCCTGGAGCCAGAGTAGTGGCGGTTGCTCTCATTCATCCACTGTATGTAGTGGGTGTTCTGCAAGTGCCAGCACTCGATGTTGATCCCTTCTTACCAATGACACTCAGCAAGAACGGACGCGTAAGATGTGGAGGAAGGTGTACTGTATACGGATGCCAAGGTGTTCTTGTGGCATACAGGCTTCCCAAGTCCAACTTAATGAGAGCACACAAGAAAGATCATCAACATGGGTTGTTGAAATCTGGCCATAAGCAGCTGCTTCACAATCATAATCATACTATCATACCATGCCTTGTCATTTTCAACTTCAACACCTCCATGCTTTGAGTGGCGCAGACCTTGCCCCTAGACAAATCTAAGCGGTGGATGTGGGACATGTGCGCATTGAGAAGCAAGCAGAATGCAATGGCTTGCATTCATGAGCCCTCCACCCTGTCCGACCTGTCCATTGCACTGATGCAACTAGTGCTTTCTTCACATGCCCCATCTTGCAGAGATACACTGCTCAGCGTCTATTTTTGTACTATTTGATCATTTGTTCGTCTCTTGGCAGCAGCATTTGCAGCATCCTTGTCATGGTCATGGGATCTTGGTCATGGGCATAGGACTTCGACGAAAGTTGAGGCATTGTGCAGCTGTGTTCAGCAGTCATGGCAGGCGGAGTGGGAGGCTGCAAAGCTCAGCCGCAGCAAGGTGGCTCTGGGAGCGGATTTGAAGAGCAGGTGATGCTCAAGAGACCTGAAGAGCAGTCGAGCCGAGCAGTGGAGGCTTTTGTTCTTGTGAATTCTTCTTGGAGGTCGAGGAAGAGTTGGCTCGAGAAGAAAAAGAGGCCCTCAACATTTTTAGTCACCTGAAGTGACTTGAACGTGCTTGAACGGATTCCTGACGCTGGAGTGGTCAATGATCCGCTTCTGTTTGGAGGGACTGTCAAGCCATGCCTTGTTCGTCTTGGTGTGGCGAGGTAGAGCAGCTTGGCAAGGAGGTCGACCAGGCTGAGGCGAAGTCTTGGAAGTTTTTTCATTGAGTCGATTGGCCATGTATGTTGTAGTTGTAGACCACTTTGTGCTTGAGGTCAAATCCTTTCATATTTATCACGAGCATGGCAGAACTCTATGTCACGAAAGCCAGCCGATAGGCAAGGCTTGAGGTAGCTGAGCGAACGAAGTGAGTAAAGGGGCACGTTTGGAGAGGCTGACCCAGAGCCTGGTGAAGGAGAGCGAAAAAAAGAGGTGGCCAGGAGGTAGTGAAAATGAGTAGTATTTTGGTGTGTTGTGATGCAAGTGATGTAATTGATGCGAGATGTGCATCATTAGCATCACGAGGAGCTCAGGAGGCAATGTTACTTGTCTTTACTAGGGGTGGGAGTTCACGTCGATGAGAGGAAAGGGGAGAGAAGGGGACGGGAAAAGTGGTTGGAACTCACCCCATACTTGAGAGCAGGAAAGAGAACCTTAGCGCTGGTTGGGGGCGCCCTTTTTTAGTTGCCAGAGTGAAGAGGGCAGTCCCTATGCGGTGGGAGCTCACATGGATGAGGCAGGCACAGCGGTGTGGGAAGGTTTTGAGTTGCTTGGGGGGTTGTTGAGGGCAGGAGAGAGAACAGATTGCAGCGGGCAAGCGTTGGCGGAAGGTTTTGAGTTGCTTGGGGTGGTACTCAAAAGGGCACCTCATATGGGGTGCACGATGCTATCTGTTGAGGGCATGCGAGAGAGCAGATTGCAGCGGGTAAGCGTTGAATTGGTCGGGTTGCCGGACTCAAAGCGGCACTCCACATGGGGTGCATGATGCCATCTGTTGAGGGCAGGAATGGCAGGAGAGAGAACAGATGGCAGTGGGCAAGCGTTGGAGGCGGAAGGTTTTGAGTTGCTTGGGGATGATGTTTGAAAGGTTGAGTTGCTGGCCTCAAAAGGGCGCCCCATTTGCGGTGGAAGGTGCTTAGGGGTGCCCTTTTGCCCGTGGAAAGGTCTAGTTCCCGGACTCAAAAGGGCACCCCGCATGGGGTGCGTGATGCCATCTGTTGGGGGCATGCGAGAGAACAGACTAATATCCAAGACTTTCCTTGCTTTGATTAAACCCACAGGAATGATCAACCAACCCATTTTGGCCCTCAAGCTGTGCTGACTTCAAACCTTCCCGAGAAACAGGGGTACCCTTTTTCACCTCCACAGCGCCTGTACATCAAGACGAAAGTGCGCCCCCTGCCAAACCTCACCACTTCCACCTACTCCTTGTCCACTCTCCCTGTATACGCATATCATATGACAAGTATCCTCGCGAAAACCTGCCGCTAGCTTTGCCCACGGGCTCCCCCCCCGTTTGCCCACAGATTGCCAACGCGCAGCAGGCAACCGCCCCTCACTTCCTCAGGGGCGCCCCTTTTCGCCTCCGAAACGGCCCTCTACCAGCACGAACAAGGCCCCCCCCAACCTATGTATTCGACATTCTCTTTCTACCCCTATGCAAGTGGCTGCAATATCAACTTCACTACATAAAGATACGCTTGGCCCGATGTTCACCAATCACTTCATCTTGCACGCTCAAGTGGCTGCAATATCAACTTCACCACTTCCGGCTACTCTTTCTCCACTCTACCTATAAACATATATGTCTCCTCGCGAAAGCCTGCCGATAACCTCGCCCCTCGACCCCCCATAGCCATCTTTTGGCGCCGCGCAGCAAGCAACCACAACCCGAGGACCCGCAAGCAAAATCGAGAACTACAATACTCACGACCGTGGCAACATGCGCCTCACTATGGCACCAAGACAAATGATTGAAATGTCATGGTGGGGATCACTCGAAGTAAAATATTTTTTCCCATTCCTTTTCTTTTCTAAGGCTCGTTATCTGACTATTACCAAAAAGGGCACCCTCCAGCGGAGTGCAGACGGGTTTGAAACAGAAGAAAAAGAGCACTCCGCTTTCGACACGCTGCGCCGATGATCGGCTAGGATTACTTCCACCTTTTTCCACAGAGCAGGGGGATGGAGAGGAGATGTGGGGCTCCATCCAACGAAGCTCCTCGCATGATCCTAGGATATTTCATGATAGATCCCAAAACATTTCCCTCAGCCGTCCAGCAGCTGTGCCACCGCCGCTTTCTGCAGACAAGTGAACGACTTGTTAAACATTCCAATTGCGCTGACCACTCCACCTTGCGTTTCCTTCATCCATTTCACTGTGGGTTTTGACATTGGATAAACCTGCGACTAAGTGTGCGTTTTTGGACATGATGCCTGATGCTTCAAACGCACAACAGGCTAGCGTTTACGACTTTTTGAGTATCTACAAATACAAACTGAAGTTTCTGCAGCATTGGGGATTGTTGCATCTCCAGCATCTCAGTGAATACGTACGAAGCCAGTTATAAAGCAAATGGCGTGGATCTTGGACAATTCGATGGGTCTTTGTGGCTTCGTTTCGATGCATGCGATGCACGCGGACCATTTCTCAGTAATCCTACTATATAATTGTTGGGTAGCCCTTGGTATGCTTAGGGCTTAACAGGTGTTTAGAGGTAGGGGTTTAGTCAGGGTAGTCACGGGCATCCAGCAGATCAGAAGGTGGGGTAAACAGCCTTGAAAATCAACCCAAGATGGGTTTCAATGACCGGGGGTAAGCCATGCAAAATTCCAACAAAACAAGGGGTTTACAATTCTCTTTTTTTATCCGAATCATGGGCTGTGGCCACCTTCTCAACAGCACAGGCCTAAAAAACACCACTGAAATCAAGAAATTACCCAAGCTGCGCCAAACTGAATAGGTGGTAGGGAATAGGCCGGGGACTTAAGAAAGACCCTGTGAAGTCATGGTTGGAACAAAACATAATGGGTCAGGAATCCAGGAACATTGTTGAAACAAAGCAGGGTCGGGAATGGGTCGGAAATAGGTCGGGGCCTGACCCTGGCGAAAAGCAATCTCGGAACCAAAAAGTCCCATTCAGCAAGCCTAATTACAGTGAAATATTACCAATTTCCTTGCGACACACCCTGCAACACCCTAGCGGGCCAACTGCGTAAGCATACCCGAAGTAGCTAAGGCTATTTGCGGCTATACAGTGCCTAAGCATACCAAGGGTTACCCTACTGTATAGTATAATTCTATGTGCGATCAATGTCTTTGAGGGGTTGTTTGCGCTTCCATGGTATATATGGGATTAGGATCACTGCGTCCCAGTTAAGCACACCCTGACACGTACCTGACATATCCTCGGTGCCAAAATCTGAAAACCAGACGTTGGCTTTGACATTGTTTTGTAGTCTTTCACATTGTCTTTCACATTGTTTTACAGTTACAGACTTAAAGAGTACTGCGGCGCTGGCCCAACCTTGAAGGCTCAACATTTGGAAGCGCTGGAGACAAAATTGCTGCCTCTCCGCGAAAGCTGCTCGCAGCTTGTTGATCGCCGCGCCCTTAGAGAATGCCGCTGTCAGTGAAAGCGCCTTTCAGAAAGGAAGGATCCCGTCAAAGCCTTAAAGCGTCTTGAAGCCTTAAATTGAGAAGCCAATACGCAGTGAGACAACGATGACCTTCCATCATTCCTGCAAACGCAGAGGTGAATTGCAACTGGTCGTCCAGGACGGAGTGCCATTGAAGCAAACGAGTTCAACTTGGTGAACAAAGTCACGAATCAAACGGCAGCCTTTTTCTGTAAGATTGCCATGGCTCGATCTTCAAGACAAGACATTACCCAAATAATGCAGACTCCTGATTAATAAACCGCCCCCCCCCCACATGGTAGGTCAACAAGGTCAAGAAGGTATGAGATACCACTCATGAGGTCCACTCCACCTCCCCTGAATAATGCGCTATGAGACCATAGGACCATGAAGGATGATACCAGGCTTTGAGGGGATGAGCTGATGAGCATGAGGCCAGAGTCCATATAGGAAGCAATGAGTTCTTAGTAGTAGTAGTAGTAGTAGTAGTAGTAGTAGTAGTAGTAGTAGTAGTAGTAGTAGTA